AAATCCGTCCATTCTTTAGTGAATTTCAACAAAAAAACCAACAAAGAATTTTAAATTCTAGATTAAAAAATGTCACATATTGAAGAAGAATTTTTGAAAATTGAAAAAGAACGTGCTTGGAATGCAATATATCATGTTAGTTTTATTTATATATATTTTTATTTGATAAATTTTTAATTTATTCTTATAGAAACTTGCAAATGATCATCTAGTCAGAACATCTAATAAAAAAAGCGATATTGCATTATTAAATATTAATCGTGAATTAAATCGATTTCGTGATGTTTTACCTTGTAAAGATTTTATTTAAAGAAAAAAAAACAAACTAGTAATTATCTCTTATTTAATTAGATGATGATACACGTGTTTGTTTAACACGAGGTTCAAATGATTATATCAATGCAAGTTATATTGAAGTACCTGCTGCTAATCGAAAATATATTCTTACACAAGTAAATTTTTAATTGATTGACTTTGTAGATTTTCATATATTTTGTTCTTTTTTTGAAAAATTAGGGGCCACTTCAAACCACGTCAAGTCATTTTTGGCAAATGATTTGGGAACAAAATAGTCGTGTTATTGTTATGTTAACTCGTTTAATAGAAAAAGGATGTGTAAGTATTATACCATCTGGAGAATTATTGAAACAAACTACTCATAAATAATATATCACATGAATAGAATATTTGATTTTATGTTTGGATTTTTTGGTCTTAGAAAAGACAGAGTTTAGGAACGAATGAAACCACAATTCGAGACAGTAGTATTAGAGTACAACACATATTTTTTTAAATTTTTTTAAATAAAAGTTTATTAAAGCCAGAAGTATCCCGAGTCGAGGAGGAAAAGGCGGTGACTTCCATTCTGGAAAAATTTTTGTCCTCAGCTTTTTTATTATTATTTTTTGTTGCTCACTAATTTCCGGAAAAATGTTCAACTTCCTCAAAATCCAGTTAAATTTAGAAAAAATCTTCTGATCGACTTCTTGAGTCATCAATTACTCTGCCAATCTTGGAAATCTCGAGACATCTCTGATTAAAACTCTTACCAAAATAACTAAGAAGAAAATCATCAATTGCAATGGGAATTTTGATCGTTAGCGAGCAAATTTTTCGGATATATCATGTCAATTAAAAGCAAAAAAAAAGTAATTTTTTTATCTGAACTCAATTAAATAGGATTTCAGATTTGAGTTGATTTTGTCCGATATAGAGATGAGCGAAAATAGTCTTTTTCAGTCGAAAATAGATCCAGCTCTAGTGGAAGAATCAGCAAATCATTTCTCTACATTGTTTTTCAAACTTATTCTAGAATATTGTCTATAGGTTTGAGCCACTTTGTTGTTACATTACGATCCATTTAGTAGGAAATATCTTCCGATAGAACCGAGATTGCGAGTAGTTGATTTCACACATCTTGAAGCAAATCAAATATTAGTAAATCTTTACTGTCTTTAAAAATCTCGAACAATATATATTGTTCATATTTTCGATTTTTTTCAAACATGGATCTTGAAAATCTTTTTTTTTCTGTACATTTTTCTTTTAGACTAAATGTTGGTTATATTATCCAGATTATCAAAATGAAAGTGAAATTACATTTGATGATGTAGATTTAAAAGTAACATTCGTATCTGACAGACAATATCGATATTATACTCAAAGAAAATTTGATTTAATAAATCTTTTAGTAAATAAAAATACAAAAGTTTTTTTTTTGCTTTCTAATAAGAATTCTTTATAAGACTGGTGAATCTCGTTCAATAATTCATTGGTCAGATTTTGATTGGCCTGATCATGGTGCTCCAAATAGACCAGAGCCATTTTTGCAATTACTTAGTGATGTTCGTCACTGTGGTGCATTTGATCCTCGTTACGGTCCGCCAATTCTTCACTGTAGTGCTGGTAAAATCTTCTGTTTTTTTTGTTTTTTATATCATACAAAAAGTTTATTTTGAATATTTTCAGGTATCGGTCGATCGGGTACATTTGTACTTGTTGATTCTATTTTAAAACTAGTAAAAATTAAAAAAGAAAATAATTTAAAAAAAAACAGAAATTTTTATTTTTAGCTTGCTCATGCACAAAAACCTGATGATGTATCATTAATTGATGTTCTCGCTCATATTCGAACACAACGTCATGGACTTATTCAAACAGTAGAACAATTGAGGTAAATTATTATCTTAGAAAAATAAAAAATTTATTTGATTAAAATAAATAAATAACAGGTTTTCTTATTGTGCTATTATTGCTGGTTTGAAAGTTCTCAATGCAATCGAACAAAGTGAAGGATCATTTATCGAATGTGATTTTAATTTATCCAGTGAAAGTGAAAGTGATGATGACGAAAAGAGTTTAAATTCTAAAAAATATCCAAAAATATGTGGAAGACAAGATAATGTAATGTCCAACGGTCGCTTAAGTGAATCATTTGAAGATATCAATTGTGAATTAATTAAAAGAGTTGATTCAAATTTAAGTAGTTATGAACCTTCACCAAATACAAAACGTCGTTTACAATCATTTTCGAAATCACGATTATCATCTGAAGATTTAAAGGAATATTCTCCATCATCACCGATCAATACACCACCGTATGAATTCTCTTTTAAGATCGATGAAAACAAAAATAATTTTTTTTTTCTTTCTTTGTCATATAGACATGATGTAGAAACATCACTTCGTCTTCGTCAAGAACGTTTATTACGTAATGAAGCTATTGAGAAAAAATTTAATGAAATAAAATCAAAATTACATCGACAAACTCCTTCTATATTCACAACAAATAATGAAACATCATTATTTACACTCTTGACAACGAAATATCGTGGTCCTTTGCTTATTGGTATATTGACCTTCGTCACTGGTTCAATGATATTATATAAATATGCTTCTAATAGTGACCGCAATCATTGAATCTTTCTTGTCATTTTTTTTTTGTTTGATTTCTTGTTTATATCAAAAATGAAAAGCAAATTAAATGATAGTATTTTGTTGTTGTGTAGTTTATCCATGTGGATTTGAACCAGTGACGTGCACGCATTATTTATACATATCCAATTTTTCAATAGTCATTTTTCTTCTTATTTCTATTTACTTTCTCTTAACTATGTATATATATATATATATATCTAATATCATCGGTTATTTTACCGTCTTCTAATGATTATAAGCTATTTCTTTTGTTTCATTTATGTGTCTTTTTTCGTTGCGATGAATAATAAAAACTTTCAATAAGAATTTAATTTTTAATGAATTGGATTTAATAAAAAAAGTAAAAAGAAAACGTTTATGACGTGCAATATTCCCAGACGGACACTCATCCACGAATTAACCGAATCCAACGTTGTGTAACTTTAGTGATCAGATGAGAGCTGATGCATTCAGTGTATTATGACTATAATCGAAACATTGATTATGCTACTTCTCCTTAGATATGGAAATCATATTCAAGATCTTCTTGATTGATTGTATGTAAAAATGCTAATGTCATCAAGAACAATTCTTAGGATAATTAGGAATTGGTGCTCATTATTTTGCGAAGAATTGTTTCTGCATGAAAGTTGTTTTATTATCTTTGAAAAGCAGTTCATTTTTCTTATATCCTAAGGATTATAATCTTAGATGATCGCTAGTGTTAATTTGTAACGACAAAAAAAAACGATCATAGAGTTACGTTTGAAATATTTTCGAAGTTTTTTACAATTTAAGCAAAAGATTAAGTATATAGAAACAAAAGTTCTCTGCTTAGTCTGCCTCACAGACATTTGACAGATATTTGGACTATGAGATTTGGAATATAAATTAATTTTTTTATTTTAATCTGTTTCTTACATGCTTAATTAATTTGAAATACAGAAACAAATTTGATTTTCTTTCTTACAATATTGTCGTTTGAGCCTCATCACAGCACAAGACAGACATTTCAACATAGTGCTTCTTAGAATCTGTTGCGGATTATGATTCATAAAGAGGATTTTGCTGTACAATCGGAGTGGCTCCATCGTACTTCATGGTTTAATCCCATAGGGATTATACTAAAAGTTTTTTTCCTAAAAACTAAACTACTGTACAAAAGAATCACTGACAGAAAACCAAGTTAAGAATCTGCCTTGATCAATTCATTGGACTGAGACATAAAGAACACTTTTTTTTTCATTTAGTTTGCTTGCTCGTGAATCTCATTAATTATATGTAAATTCAATTTTTCATGGAATTACTGTTGATCACTAAATGGGTGATGACTGTGTTCTAGCTATATTCTGCATAAATATATCACTCTGATCATTTGTGATCGTCGGCATCGTTGGTACAGTTCAATATAATAGCGCTTGAAAGACTCAATATGAGTATAAAACAAGCAAGATAGATGTCTTTCAGTCAATCAAATGTTTAATGATTCATATGATGAAATCAATTCAGACTCTTTATTAACTTTCAAAACTACACATTAGTATGCTTGCTCACACGGAGAGCAACTCTAATCTGCAACTTCTCCCATAGAGTGATGTCTTCTTACTAATTTTATTTTGAAAATTTTGTCGATTAAGAATAAAAATTGGTCAACGGTGTGAATATTAATATTACTCTTAAGCTAATATTTCCATATCCTCTTTTCTTCTTATTCTCTTCCTGTTTTTCTTTCCTATCTTATTCTCTCTCCAATATAAATTGACATGATGTGTGAGACAGAGACATGAAGTAGCTGAATAGACATGATTACTGAGAATGGAGATAAAGGTATTCATTCAATCTGCTGTTACACCAAGACAACTGTAAAATTATTTTTTGATAAATTCGCAAAACTTGCAGTTCTTTATTGAAATCAAGGGCACTACATCGAAATCAGTTTTGTTTAAACTTTCTTCTGAGCATGAACTGTGAACATTCGTTTAAAATTAGTAAAAAAATTCTTCGCTTTAGTGGAATTGTAGTGTAGATTTACGACTTTTTGTTCGATAAACTAAGCTTCGGATCAGTCTATATTTGAAAGTATTTTATATGTCGATAATATCTAATAAATTCAATGCCGGTTCCACTAAAATAACAAATACTTGTTGTTCAGAATGATGATGTTCATGTTGATTGTTTCTATGACAACATTGTAGACTAATCATTTCACTTATAATTTGATAATCTGTTTGTTCTAAAGGCAATTCGACCAATTTAATTAAATCATCTTGTGTTTTATTCATTAGATCTGGTAAAGTATCTATGTGAAACAGATTTAAATTTTTGAATATATATTGATAAACTTCATGTTCTTGTTTGGTATGTATTTGCCATAAATAATTTGATCTCGTAGTTCGTTGTAAATCGTAAAGATTTGGTAAGTTTTTATGACATATACAATTTAAAAAGCGAGGATTATATGTTACCTTCCAAACGGTTGATGTTGGATCATTATCAAGATTGATAATTTGATAATTTTGCTGTTTAGCCTTATCGACAGTAACAACCATTCCATGTGCTCTACCATTTTCGCGCATAAATAATTCAATTTCATCAAGCTTTAATTCCATAAAATCTTCAAAATGATTTATATTTAAATTTTCATGTTCAATGTCGTTGTTGAGAATTTGTGATAAATCTAAATCACCTTCAATATTATCTAATGGAGAATAATCAAATTGAAGAATTTTATCATTAATATGAGTAAAAAACCAATGATAAATATCTAATTTTGTTGTTAATGAACACGATGAACGAACAAGAAAATCAACAAGTGATGCATCAGACCAACCAACAGTTATTAGCCATATTGTGGCTGATGAAGACATTGTAACTTCGTCTAAAGATAAATATTTTACTACGATAAGTAATTTCGTGTTGATTATGCAATAACTCATTTTGTTTAGTAGAACATAAAAAGAAGCATTTTTCTATTCAAAAAACGATGAAATAAATATAAAAACAATGGGCTAATGTCTTTTATAAAATATTTTGTTTTAACGAAAAACTTAATAATATGGTCTATCAAACGAACACTGAATATTCATTTAACTAGAACAGAATTTACTACTACTGACGAAAGAATCTCTCGAAATGTTTCGCCTCCTTTCTCCTTCTTCACTCCTGCCGGTGTGAATAGTTTTTCATTTATAGATGTGATATCGAACTCTACTACAAATCTAGAAAAGACATGAATTCTTCTTCCAAAAGTGAATGAATATTTTTATTTTGTTTCTACAATGTATAATATGCAATATAAAAGCATTCGTATTTCAGTTAAAATTCGGTGAAAAATAAATTCTTTTTTCTGATTTGTTTGACAGCTATTATATTGATAGAGAATTTCAGTTTTCTAGCTTCTTCCACCGCCAACTTTCAAAATTTAGTTTTCGGAAGAAAAACCCTTTAGTAAATACATATACATTCATATGAATGATTCTAATGACTCCCTAGACCACCTAGTTCCGTCATCCAAAAAGCTGTTAGTGCAATTCCTGTGGGATTAAAATGCGAAACACGATGTAGCTGTTCTTACTAACCTCAGAAAGATTTCTTTTTTCTACCTATTATGAGACCCACGTTTTCACCATATTTTTACTTTATCATCAAAATATGCAACAAGAAAGTAATTGATATATTAGAACGAAGCATTATTGATATACGATCAAAGGCCGTATATCAACAATATCTGTCACGGGTATACGAATGATGCGCACGCAACAAGAAAGGAGACTTTGAAGACAAAATGGATCCTATTAATCTTACTACACCTTTACCCACACTCACATTCGCACCCGCATTCCCACATTTCACAATCACCGTGGGCTCCTAGAAGCGCCATGCGCATTATTCGGGATCTCATCTGTCATAGTCTGTGATGGGTCTCCAGGATTTCTGTCATGGTTTGTGAGACGACACGAAAGGATTAGTTCATTTTTCTTGCTATATCTTTCAACATCCCTTTCGTCGATTACTTATTAGTTATTTATTAATTGATCCGCTTATGAGTTACTAATGAGATAGTAATTCGTTGTTGATTAGAAATCAGTGAGTTATGAATTAGGTATTGATTAGAAATGTCTGTTACGGTCTGTGAGAGGGAACAGGTCCAAATTTCTACCCAATGCACATCAACACTCCTTTTAGATCGTGTTTTACAAAAAGGAGGGAACATATATATATGTACATATATGAATGATTCTAAAGATCTCCTAGTCATAAATTTCCTTTTGTAATAGAGTTTTCTTCTTCTAAATTCAGATCGAAATCAGATAGCTTATTTTGTGATCAGCTTTTTCACATGCATGGATTGTTCATCCAGACACGAATATTGGTAATTAGTTATTTATTTAATCTATTTCCTACGTTATTTTCTCTTGGCTATCTCTTATATTAGTATAAAATACACCCTGTGAAAAGTAAGAGAAAGAAAAATAAATGTAGGTCCTAGCATAATGTTACAGAGTTGGGCAAGTACGGACTTTCTTGAGTACGAGCACAGCGAAAATTACACTTGAGAACGAGTATTTCGACTATGATTACTTCGAAACGTGTGTCTATCGCCTTGAGGGTATAATTATCGATTATATATCGGTGCACTTTTACATAGGATTGAGCGCAAATACAATTGGCTATTTGCTTGATCTTTGAAGGACAGATGTATGGTGGGTATGGTCTGGGTGTGGATGTGGGTGGGGTTGTGGGGTGTAGGAAGCGAGTCTACCCTTCTATTCGCTTACGCTCACACACCAACACCCACACTTCACATCCACACCCTCCAGACGACCATCCTCACTTGCATGCTCATCCTCAAATAGCGTAAATTCAAATTGGAACTTTTTGAGCACAACTCCCTGCGGTCTAAGTGTGTGTAATTGGAGTTTTCCGGCGCGTGGAAAAGTTAGTTGTATGTGGTGTTTCGATGAAATACGAGTAGTTTATGCATATTCTTGAAGAATTGAGCTAGAATCATAAAAACAAGGCAACACGAGGCAAAATAACTTTCAACTTCAATGTCGTGATTTTTCTTCTGCAGACGAATGTTGATTAGAAAGATGTTAGTTTTATTTCGTTGTGACATGTTCTCCCTTTATCGTTTTTTCTTCGACCGTTGCGTTATCTAAAATATATACGTATTTCGTTGAATGTTCGAGAAAGGGCAAGAAAAAACACAGAGAGATAAGTCCAAATGCCTTCCAACGTCATTTGCGTCATTTTTCTTCTACAGATAAATACTGATTAGAGAGATGTTAGTTTTTCGTTGTTTATGACATTTTTTTCCCTTTTTTTCACTCCATCATTGCTTTATCTAAGTCATATAAGCATCTTGTTGACAAGGTAGAAAGGAATACCAGAACACGAAGTGACGAGACCAAGTGGCCTGCCACTTCAATTTCATGATTCTTTTTCTGTAGACAAATATTGATTAGAAAGATGTTAGGTTTTCATTCGTTCTAGCATGCTCTCCTTTTATGGTTCTTACTACGTCGTTGCTTTATCCGAGGTATACACGCATTTCTTTGAAGACTTGAAAAGCGATAAACAAAAAGAGAGAGACGACATCAAGTGACCTCCTCTTGGCGTTCATACATTTTTTCTTGTAGGGGATGAATATTGATTCGAGAGATGTTATTTCTTCCTTCATTGTAATATGCTCTCTTTTTATTTTGCTTTTACTTAAATCGCTGCTTTTTGTGAGGATTTTTTCGAATAGCCTCAAAAAGAAAATGCAGCAAGTCAGATTTAAAATCGATCACAATGAAACAACACCATTGTCATTACTGTCTCTGGTCCAAACAATGCGATCAACACCGACAAGAAAAATTGTTTCGTTTCGAACTTAGCAGCAACTTGATTGCTTGATTGTGGTGTTTATGCTTTGAGTGGTGGTTAAAAGCTCGAATTTATAGTTCGATTTTCAAAGTAAACGGTTCAAATTAAGATTCATTTTAGCTTGTTTCGTTAGAGCTGTCTCACACATCCGTAAGCTAAGACTTTCCTAAAAAATGAATAAGATCTTGATATACGATTGACCAAGAAACATTTTCTTTTCTTGATCTTAGACTGTTCTCGACCATGTCAAGTCCAACTTGCTGTGAGAGATCAGAAAAGAAGGCCACTGTACTTCCAGGAAAGTGGTAGATTTCTCATCAATTTGCTTGATAGGTTGTGACAATAACTGTTCTGAAAGATATCAATATCTGTGTCATAAATCTCACCCACTTACTCGATTGAATGGCTAACTTTCGATCATAAATCAATCGAGATTCTATAGAGATCGGGTACTATTGAAATATAAGCAGTACAATTTTATTTTTTATAAAAATCGACAAGCATGTTTTTAAAGACAACTCAAAAATAGTTATGATGCAGATACTACTGCCAATTCAGAACGTCTTTGATGTTATTAAGCCAAATTGATATATCATTTAGGTGGAAATGGAGGTTTAGAGATGGCGACACTCTCTGTCAAGTTGCTTGGCGTCGATGGCGATTGGTTCTGTGAATCAGACTTTGAACTAGAAGCCTTCTGGACAGTATGTTTCGCTTCGTGCTTCGTGCCACTCTGACTAGGCTGTGTTGCTGATGCAGGCCTTGTCGATCGTGTCTCTTTGGGTGCCTTAGCATCTGCTTTATTCAAGCCTGTTTCTTGTGAGGAATTTGCTGGTCCCTGTGTAGTGACTTTGTGGTGAAGCCCCTGTTGAGATGAAGGAGTTGATTGTGGTTTATTTTTTGATGTCGATTTTGGCCCTGACTCCGCCATCGGTGATGAAGTACTGACAACATCCGAACTAGTTGGCGTTGGTTGCCACAGTTGTCCTTCGTAGGTGATCCACTTGCTCAAACATTTGATAAAATCACAGGCATAGAGATGTTTCACCCATTTTTGTGGTAGATTTTCGAAGCCATAGAGAGCGCCAGCCAATTGACCATAAATTGCGGCAGTTGTGTCTGTATCGTCGCCAAGATTGACAGCATTGAGTGCACCCGTTTCGAAACAGTCCTTATCGGACCAAAGAGCCCACAGGGCGGCTTCCAGAGCGTTAACAATATATCCTTTACCTCGAATACCGGCGTCATAACCTTTGTATTTCTTGTATGATCCATTGGCAATTCTCTGGATCTCCGGAGTTAGTGGCTCGTTGTTGAACCAAGATATATGCTCGGAGTAAAATTCTTTATCTAGCAATTTTTCTTTTGTTTCTTTTCGAAGAGCGGCTACGATTAGAGCACCGTAATACCGACAAGCATCATACGCTTTGCGATCACCATGAGTGATGACACCACTAAGACCGGAAAATTCGACGGCTTGAACAGGATCTTTGTGGAAGAACAGAGGCACGGGTGCCAATCGCATTAGGGCTCCATTACCTGCTACTCCATCTTCACTACAATACACATCGAATTGGTCTAGTAGATGAGGGTCTGAGAGATGGTCTAAATGTTCAAGACGAATTTGATGTGTGTCGGCAAATTTTCGTTGACGACGTTCGAATTCGCGCAACGACTGACGGGTGGCAGTGCCGATATCAAAACATTGTCCAGTAGAGGACATATAACCATATTTGTGCCACCACTTGTAGCGAACTAATTGATCGTAGGGAATAAAATCACGATGAATCACCAATGAACTTGCCAAACAAAGAGCCATGGAGGTGTCATCCGTGAACTAAATACGTATTTATCACAAACGATTTCGTCGCCCATGCCTTGTGCTTATTGTAAGCACATTTTGTGAACGGTAAGGATATTGGGCGTGGGTGTGGGTTTGGACACGCATACCCGAGCTTACATCCATATTTTGGCGTTTTTTTTTATGTGTATTTTCTCTGGACTACGATATATTTTTTATTAAAATAATACCCTATCGTACTTTTTTTTTGTGTTTATTTAATTAATGATTATTTAAGAAACGAGTCGTTATATTTGAAAAAAACCATGAAATATATTTGTTATAAGATGACTGAGAAATTTACTGTCTATTTGATTCAATCGAAAGTTAGAGGTATCGCTTTTGCCCCACTTTATGTCCTGTCATGCCGTTCGGCAGAACGAATGTTGACTGCACAATAGGACAGAACAAAAAAAGTTGTTCGGTACTCATCTCTGCTTGACATCACTCCTAGCATTGGCACTAATCGACAGAACGAATTATAAATACCGAATTGTAGGAAACGTTAAAGATCAACGTCCCATCTCAATATTAACGATACTTATACGAAAATCTCTAGTTGAACAGATTCCAGAAAATCTTTTGAAACTTGGTTCGAGCAGAATGTGAAGCTAGTCCAAGGAGGCTTGTGCATGTTGTGAAACTCGATTAGATATAAGTGTTCAATTATATAGGAAGAAAAGTGAAACTCCGTCATATGTTTTGCTTCACAAACCCATAACAGACAAATGGAATGGAGAATACTTCCGAGAATCACAGACCATGATAAACATTTCGATATACTTGTTTATCTAGCCTTCAAAAATAAAAGACATCATGAATAGGGCTCTGGTTTATCAGTAGAGCTAATCCATCATATTTCACATTACACTCCAGAAGAGACGACAGTCAAAGCATTTTTTTAGTATAAAGAGAAGGAACTTTACCTGTCCTTTTTTCAGACCCCATGTTCCTCCACCCACAAGGTCTCGCACTGGATGCTGAAGAAGATATTGTCGAGGCCGAAATTCGACATGCCCACCGAGTGCATCACCCAAGGCCATACCAACCATGGATCCTTGGACACGATCTAATATAGCATCGTCGACATTTACAGGGGGATTTTTCATCACAGTTTGTAAATCTTCCGGAGTCATAATCGATTCTTTGTCATTCGAGTGATACAGACAATTCAGCCAAGGTTTTTCTAAAGGCAAATCAATATTTTCTTTTAGGATGTGAATGTGAGTGTATTAGTGAAGGTAAGTGTCTGCTTGTAAGTTCTACGAGAAATTGAGTTGATCTCGTTTACTTTTATGTTTTTCAAGCTAGTATGACTTTCATATGTTTCACCATTTGATACTTCTAGTCTATCCACAGACCAACGACAGGTACTGATGATAAGATTAAAAATGCTTTATTTATTAATAGTTTTCAGTCCGAATGATTTTGTTCTGGATCAAAACAATAACGTTTACAATCCAAAAAATGAAATAAAAATAAGTAAACAATTTAGATCGTTGTGAATGTGGATATGTGATGTAGCAGTGGTGGTAGTTGTGGGAGTGAGTGTAAGGGTGTGGTTCTTCTCAACAATCGATCCCACACGTACACGTACACGCACACCCACACTCAATGAACTTGATTTAATGGCGAGTTAAGTAAAAAAAGGGTAGAAATTGACGTTCAGCTGTTTCGGCTAGAGTTTTCATGGATGCTCTCTGAAATCTATAAATGACCATTGATTTTCTCTAAGACAAACTCAAAAAGAGAGTGGATTTTGAGGCGTCAGAAACTTATCCATGAATTCTTTTTTCAGATTAGGTCGTAAAATACTAAAAAAGAGTGTGTACATCAAGAGCCTGAACAGTCTATTCCATTTCGATTGGCAGAAGGTGCTCCCCAAAAATATACATTTCAAAAT